GGTATGGTATGGCGTGACCAGCGCTACATGCCAGACCATATTTTTAAATATGTAGTATATATAATATATGATATATCATACTACAGGGTGCCCGTGTCGGCGGCGAATCACAAAGCTGATATTCTCAGATCGGAGGAATTTGAGACGATGTGTTTCATTGCGGTCAAGGCCAAAGGCCGAATGAGTCTTAAAGGGAGCGTTCCACATTTGTATGGGGTTTTGAACTGAAAACGCCATCTCGAAGATTATTTGACATAGTTCACAAGCCCGTACTTCTGCAGACCAAAGCCTATCAAGTGTCTTAGCTACAAGCCTGCGAAGATATGCGGACTAGTTCGGGGAGACTTTTCTGGTCATACAGGAATCCACGACGCCAAAAAACAACATCCAAATGCTGCCATTCCTTCAGCCATGCGGCGATCAAGGCCAAAAAGAATGCAATCGCCGAGGAGTTCATACCGGTCGTTTATGAGCACGATTTCCAGACCTAACGGCCGTCAGTTGGCTCTTAATCAATGTTGCGCAAAGTACGATGACGCAATGTAACAGTGACGTATTGAGTAGTAGTTTTACCACACAGAGAAATTGTGTTGCCTAGAGCAGTCTTTTCCACTTAGAACGTATACCAATAGGTACATTTGGGCTCATTTCATGCAATCTGATGCTTGTTCTAATATCTATAAATGTGGAGCACCCTCTTTAAAGGAAATGTTCAAACCTAAAAACTTCTCATAAAGACCATAAAACAACATTCACATGCTCCACAAGTGATTTATGCTACCAAAAAGTGGATCCCATCAAACGCGGCGTGCAGTTTCCCGTCGTCATGCAAACGCCATCATCACGCATCATCAAATCAAGCCATCTTCGCCTCTCCAGCCACAAAAAAGAAAAGACTGCGCACTGCGCAACATTAAACGGACCTGCTTCCTAGCCATGCGCACCGTGGCAGCCTAAGCCAGGCCGGCACCCGGAACCGGCATATAGCGAAAAACCATGCATCTTGCACACTACCCACAAACACAAGCAGGCTTCAGCGTATGCCATCACCTCGCAACTCTGCATTTGGAACTATTAGAACTATTATACCTCTGACGATACTGTACAGGTCTCAGCGATAACACCGCATCAGACTGTAGCTAGAGCCATACCTGGAAAGGCCCTGATGTCTGCATGAAGGCGCCTGGTGTCCGGGTGTTACGTCATTATTAAAGCACTGAAATGAGACAAAGTTTGCACGCAAACATTTTTATGATGCGTGTCTGCTTCCTTAACTACCAAACTTGTTGCACGACATCAAATTGGCTCGCGCCTGACCAAACAGGTGTGTGAGCAGCGCTCCGCCCGAAGGCAAAGACGGTGCACGACACAGGCGGGCAACAACTACACGGTCATGGGATGCCTGTGTTGAGACGGGTTGAATATTGAAATCAGGATATACGGGTCACACCCAAAAAGGCAACCAATCGCCCAGACCACAGCAAAGGCAACGAAATCCGGTGCGCCAAGTGGCAGGATGGATACACTCGATCATCTGGTCGTTTATCGGTCTGACATGACTCATACTACAAAACCGTGACCTGGGCTAAGGCTGCACAGAAGGGCTACCAGGCGCAGATATTTTCAGCGACCCAGCGTTTGGCTTTGTTCTACGCAGTCCTGCAGGCTGTGCAGGGCTGAGGCACGACGCTGTCTCTGACCTCTCTGGTACGGGTGGTCATACATTCTGACCTTGGGAAGCCGATCGGCGGGCACATGCCGGAGCTCACGAAGTGGACAGCTGTTTCGCCCCTCCTGACCGGAGGACGGGGACGGGGGCCACGTTTATGTGCTGGCCCAGTAGACGCTGCGCGTACAACTGGCTTTGGCGGGTGACGGATGACGGCGCGACGGGTGACGGATGACGGCGCGGCGCACCAGTCGTGAATGCCGACAGCGCCTCTTCCCACGTAAGGTCTTGCTTACGGTGATCTTCCAGAACCGGAAGAATCGATTCCTGTCTCTTGCCTGAGAAATCCGACAAGATGTTTCGCGCACGACCAGTTGGGTCAGCAACAGGCAGGGAGGTTGTGAGCCACCACGGGCGCCGGCAGGTCCCACGGCACGCGGATCCGCCAAGTCATCAACTCGGTGCCGTGCGATCTCTGTGAGAGTCTGAAGGGCTGATATGCCGGTAGTCCCCCTGGACGGTCATGGCATCGGCTTCATGACTGGACTGGCCTCCACTCTCAGTGTGGCAAACCATCACAATGACACGTGACACGTCATCCTGCCAAGAAAGAAAACTCCTATCATCATTTTCAAATCGGCAGATTTTATCGGAAGAAGGTATTGTGCGCCCCCTCAAAGTTGTGTGTAACCTTCAGAGGCAACTGCTCTGTGTGACCAATTATTACGGCATGGTCCACTGTACAAGCTGTCATGTCACTCCTTCAGTTCCAGTACACTAAAAACGATTCAGGCCCTAGCTGTGATTGTTAAACCGTTTGAGATAACGCCAACACGTTTCCATCCCTCATACGCACCCACAGTATATATTCCTTGGCAAACGCGGAGTGGCTAATGTGACGTACACTAAACAATGACAGCCATGTTTTTTTTTACAGGCCACCTAAGACTTGATTCTTGAGCCACATCTAAGGTCTTTATTTGTGCAAGAACATCTTTCAGTTTGTGCTTTTAAAGCTCTTTGAGTTCTATGTTCCGTTTGCCCGTATGCCACAGCTGATTGACGAATCATTGCCTAAATCAGACAATCATTAGACCAATAATCCGGGCACCATAATTTGATCTTTCAAACTATGCTGGAAGAAGATTACTGCTTGGCTGGGGTCCAGCCCTATCCACCACCAGGGTCTATATGGCCTTCAGCTGGGTTGGTCAGCTCCCCACATGGGCAGGGGTCCAGCCCTATCCACCACCACGGTCTATATGGCCTTCAGCTGGGTTGGTCAGCTCCCCATAGGGGCATACACGATGAAAGGGAGCGGGAGCCTTGTGACAATAGATCATGACCAATGCACCCTCTTACCACCCATGTGTTCATAAGCTATTGTGCAGTCTTTCTGTTCCACACACTTCAACTTTTTTTGTCAAGGAATGAATTGCAATACATTGCTTGCCTTAGTATTTATAGGTCTCATTGAAACCACCAGTGATGGAAATTAAGAAAATCAGCACGCCGGACAATATAACCATCAGATTATTGCCTGGACCCCGGTTCCTTTGAACAATCACATTGCAACTGCAGTATGGCCCGTGTGATTTTGACCTGATTTGGACTAGACATTGTAGCAGACTTCATGGCTTTAGAGGACAATTATATTGCAAACCAGCAAAACAGAAGACTTGATGCTACCAACAGTATGAAGATAACAATGTTCTCAGTATTGACACAGCAAAAGTGGCTTTTGGGATTTTCATTAGGTAGTAGATTCTCTTTGATGTTAAGCAGTGTTTTAGGTGGCGGCGGCCAGACATTTTGTGCACTAGCAGGTGGTCGGCGGCGGTCGGCCATTTTGGTAGGAGCACGCGGGTGGCTTACTCGAACGTTGGGATGTCCCTCCCGAGGGGAGTGAGGGGCTGGCCAGGGATGTCCCTCCCGAGGGAGTGAGGGGCTGGCCAGGGATGTCCCTCCCGAGGAGAGTGAGGGGCTGGCCAGGGATGTCCCTCCCGAGGAGAGTGAGGGGCTGGCCAGGGATGTCCCTCCCGAGGAGAGTGAGGGGCTGGCCAGGGATGTCCCTCCCGAGGAGAGTGAGGGGCTGGCCAGGGATGTCCCTCCCGAGGAGAGTGAGGGGCTGGCCAGGGATGTCCCTCCCGAGGGGAGTGAGGGGCTGGCTGGGTTGGGAAATCAAGGATTGGAACGTGTGTGTTCAGGGAGTTTTTCTAACATTTTGTTGGTGCCGAAACCCGGGACGCAGTGAACTGAAGTTTAAGCGTTTGCTATTTTGCAGAGTTGTTCTGGGTGCCTCTGTCAAGATGAGTGTAAGCCCGGATGCTTTCAAGAAGCGAACAGCAGCCAGAGGTCGGCTGGCCAGGTCAGTGAAGAAACTGGAGGGAATTCTGGAAGATTAACAGCCAGATCAAGATGCCCTTCAGGCCGCTTAACTTGCCTGCGAGAAGAGGCTCCCGATTCTGGATGAGGCCCAGTCTGAGGTGGGGCTATGCTTCGAGACAGAGGAAGAGATGCTTAATGATACTGAGAGTGCAGCCGACCTGAGAGACGGGGTGATATCCGTTCTGGATAGGGCTGGTGGATACCTGGAGCAGAAGAGTAGGGCTGGCTCAACCAGAGATCACACTTTGCCAGTCCGACATGTCATAAGCATTACTAAAACGTCAGAAAAGGCCGAGGATGAAAGGATGAAAGGATGAAAAAGGATGAGGACTCGGAGCAGAAAAGGCGGCTCTGGATCTTACCTTCAAAATTCAAAAGGCTAATGTTTCTCACATACCTAGCTATCAAAGGTAGAAAATTGTAAACTTGTTAGATGAATATTCGGACATATTTCCCAAAAGCGATTTGAATACTGGTCGTACAGATCTAGTGACAATAAAGATAGATACAAAGGATCATTCTGTATTTGAATTGTGATTCGGATACTAAATGCGCAACAACACCTATCACTTGCTCATGACAGGCTCGTCCGTGGCCGGCCCAACCGCACGGTCTACCGGGTCAGGTACGTCAACAGCCGCGCCAGCACCGTCCTCCGTCTCCGGTTGACATTCCACATACGACACGTACATCGGCGGCCCATCATCGGCCCTGTCACTGTCCCAATCACTTCTCTTCTTCGTCTTCCGTCACCGTCTTCGCCCCCTCCGCACCGAGGCCGAACGTCTCCCATTTGCCACGGCACTCCGTTGACCTCTACCGCCTGCCGCGACACCGCACCCGTCACTGTCCCGCGACGCCACACCCGTCACTGTCCCGCGACGCCACACCCGTCACTGTCCCGCGACACCACACCCGTCACTGTCCCGCGACACCGCACCCGTCACTGTCCCGCGACGCCACACCCGTCACTGTCCCGCGACGCGACGTTTCCGTGCAGCGCGTGCCTCGGCGACGCATCCCCACTCGGTCCCAACTCTGAGATGCGCACCGTCAGATACGGGTGGGCGTGGTACTCCAGCCTCAGCGGCGCCCGCCGGCACTGGCCGGACACAACCCCGTTCAGAGTACCGATATACTCCCGACGCTGGCGCGGACTCCGCCGTCTCCCCACCGCGGGGGGTCACATTTTAAAGGTGGACCGCCTCGGCCACAGTGCGACGCCTCGCAGCGATGACCTGAACGGTCCGGTGGCAGCGTTCTATCACTCCGTTGCCATCCGGCTCATGAACAGCTCGGAACCTCGCGGTCACTCTCCGCAGTGAGGCGAGAGCGGCCTCCTGGCAGCCACGAAACACAGTGTCATTATCAGCCAAAACCTCCTCCGGAGCCCTACGCTCGAGGAACCGCTGTTCTAGGTGACCGACGATTTCGGCGGCACTGGCGCGGCGCAGGGGACGCCACACGCAGAAGCGGGATGGTCCGCCGTCGATGATGGGGAGGAAGCTCTATCCGTCGTGGTGGGTGACGTCAATGGCGACGCACCGCCACGTGGCAGCCACGCCGAGCGAGCCGTGTCGCCGGCGTACCGGCGCTGGGTCGATCGAGCGGCACGCATCACAGCTCTCCACCACCGCACGTGTTACGGCTCGCGTGACGTCACGCGACACGTCACGGCGTGCGAAGAACAGCGCGGACCCCTGAGTGACCCGCCCGCTCGTGCGACTCTCGGACCGCCGCACCAAGCACGCTCCCCGCGCCACCGGCGGCATGCGCCGCGTTATCACCGGGCGGCGGCGGCGGCTCCCCCACCGTCGCCGCGGTGATGTCCGGCGGCGGCAGCTCGCCCACAGGAGTCGCACTCGCATCACGGAGCCACTCAATGGGCACGCGCGTCAGCGCGTCGGTTCGGTTCTCCGCCGATCGCACGAGCACCAATGACAACCGCAGCTGCAACTCACTAACCGGCTGACAGACGATTTCGGCGCGCCGCCGGATCAGCAGCTCGCCGTGCGCCTTGGTTTGGAGACGCGCGCGACCACTGATGGCGTCATCAAGCCAGCGATGAACGGTAGCCGAGTCGGTGCGGAGGCCGATTGTCCGTGCTCCCCAGGCGACGGCCAGGTCGACGCCTCGGATGGCCGCGTCCAGCTCAGCCATGTTGATGTGCGTGGCTTCATCCCGTCTCAGCCAGCACGCGTCCTCGATGACGTCACCGTCCGGCGACTCTGCCACGACCCCCGTGGCCAGAGAACTCGCGTCCGTCCAGATGACCATGTCTTCACCCTCCACACACCCCGCGCCACGGGCCGGGTCGTCAGTGTTCAGGCGTCTTGCGACGTAGTTTATCTGAGCACGCAGCGCTGCATTATCGGTGACGTCATCCCACGTCCGCATCAGTTGGTTCACACGCCGTTTGAGCCAGGCCGCTGCAGGCCTAAGCCATGCACACACGGGCAGGTGTGCGACCAGTCGCCCACACCGCGCAAACACGGCGCGGCGCGTCACGCGAGCCGGCGACGCGCCCACCGGGTTGTCCCGCACCCATCGCAGTTCTCTGCCCTCTGCCTGGACGCGCAGGCCCAGTAGCCAGGCCCCGCTGGCCGCTCGCTCCGGATGCTTACAGTCCAGCCCAAACTCCGCGAAGTGGACCACCACACGCTCTGCACTGAGCACATCTTCATTTACGAGGAGGTCATCTACGTATGGAAGGACAGCACGCTGTACGACCGCGTCCTGCTCCAGCACGGACCGCACAACGGCCTTAATCACCATAGGGGCGATGTTCAGACTGAAAGCCAAGCGCGTCAAACGAAACCGCTGGCCCCGAATCATCACAGTCTGGAACGGCCAGAGTCGCTCCTCTACATGCACCTGCAGGTACGCACGCTTGAGATCTACCACCGCCACGTTAGCACCGTGGCGGCGCCATCTCCAGAGCTGATCAGCACACACGTCAGTGTCGGCTCTGTGGGTCGGCACAAAACTGTTCAGTTTGCGGTAGCCCATCACCGGGCGCACCTTGGATTTGATGCACTGCTGTACGGCCATCAACGGTACCAGCACCCTCGCCGTCCCACGGCGACCCTCATCATACGGCACCAGACAACCCTGTACGACCCACGCGTCCAACTCGGCGTCATACTCGCGACGAGCGGCTGGCGGCTGGCGGCCCAGGATACTGGGCGACAGTGTTCGTCAGACACTCCGGTCCCACGCCGTCCGACCATTTCCAAGCAACGGTCCACCTCCACCCCGCCGCGTCGAAGCACACACTGAAATCCCGGGCATCCACGCTCAGCGGCACACGACACACGGCCCCACAAAAGCGAACCTCAGACGGGGACAGTACGGTACACCCCCCAGCGCCGAGATGCCTGCCACCCCGAGGACTATGTCCACCCCCAGCGGCCGCTTCTCCACTACCACCGTCTCGAGCGAGGCGCCACGGCCCGTCGGCACCTCCTCCACAACCACACTGCCGACCCCGCAGCACCTCAGCTTACCTCCATTGATGGTAGTCACTCGCACCTGCCGCGGCGTCCACCGCGCGCAGAAGGGAGCGTAGATGGTGTTTTCTGTGCTGCCGGTGTCAGTCGGGGCGCTACACTCCCGGCCATCCACCCCCAGCCGCGTGACGGGCGGCGCACCGCTCAGTGCTGCGCAGGAGAGGACGGGCGGTGCTGACCCTTCCACTCCGGCTCCGCTTCCCGGTCGCTGCTGGCACCTTGCCGGGATGTGACCGAGCTCTCCGCAAGCCCAACAGCGCAGGTGACGCGGGGAGCGTGGCGGTTGACTGTGCGGCAACACACGGCGCTGGCCGGGGGACGGCGCCGCGGCCCCTCGCAGCACCGCCGCCGCCGAGACCCGTTCATCACTGAAAACGACACGAGCACGAGCCAGGACGGTGGTCAGGTCCAATCCTTCAGCCCTGGAGCCGGCGCGGATGGTCTGGCGTCCGGCGTCCGGCAGCCCTGTGACGAACGCGCAAGCCAGCGCGCGCTCCGGCAGTCTACCGAACAGGACCGCCAGCCGCCGGAGGTCGGCCAGAAACACGTCAGCCGCCTCACCCGGCATCAGTCGTCGAGTGGCGAACATCTCGTAGGCGGCGTACTGACCAAGGGCAAACGCGGAGTATAGTGCGCCCCGCACAGCCTCCAGGGAGCAGCGGTCGGTCACCGGCAACTGCGACCAGACGTGGAACGCGCCGCCGGCGAGGCGCAGAGGTGTGACCGACTCGGCGGCCACCTCCTTCAGCCGGCACAGCATCTCCGCACGCGTCATCCAGCCCACGACATCACCGGTCCCGTCGTACTCGGGGATGAGGCGAGCATCGAATGCCGGTGTTGCGGCTGCCGGCTGGTGAGCGGCGGCAGCTAGCGTCGGAGCAGAAGTAGTCGCTTGTAGACTTATTGTCGGCGTCACCCTGCTGGTCATCACGGGGACTTGCACAGACGGGTCCGGAACGCCCGTCGCCATACTGCCGAAATAGCTTTTATTTGAATTATGGTTCAAACACTACATGCGCACAACACCCAGCACTTGTTCAACACAGATTTAACCCCCGACCTCAACCGACCATCTCTACCTCCATTCTGCGGCCGCTCCGGTCCGCACACGCGACTTCGGCCAGGTCACGTGGACAATGGCCCGGAGGCACAAACAGCCGGCTGCGCCGTTCGCCAGCGCGGCCGCACGACACACACTCCTCTATTTTTTCAAAACAAATGAAACACCCTGCAGTTAGCCCAACCCCTAAACGCTCCAATGCAAAGATTGTCTGTACAAAACGTTGACTTGAGCCTGTCCTTACCCATCTTTTTTGTTTGTTTTTATGGTTTTTGTTATCTTATTTTGTGTATTTTGTTCATTTATGATTTATTGTTTTTATTTCTTTAAAGCGGCATACGTAGCCTTTTTCAGCTTGCGCGCGTTTGACCAAACTGAGCCACTGGTTCCAGAGAAAGCTTGCTGCAAATTTTGTCTCCCGGCCTGCCCGAGCCAAATGCGCTCGGATGGAAAATATGGTGTGATGTAGTAAACCTAGAAATCCAATGTAAGATCTCAAATAGGCGCAGAATTGCAAATTACAACTGCTGCATAAACATTGACGTGATGTCACTGGAGTCTTGACACAGTGAGCGCAGCGCAAGGCCCCGCGCAATGCATTCTGCGATCTGGATATTTGCGTTTCCGTTTGTTACAGCTGTATTGCATGCCAAATTTGCTGTGAATACCTACCCGTTCTTCCTTCTGCGCCTAGGAATATGTTACGTTATTAAAAGATTAGTGCGGCGTAAATTCGGGGAGCCTGAACTAAATCACACTAAGCGAGACGTTGGTGTCAATGCATGAAGTCCGACTCACGCAGTCGGGCTCACTGTTTTCACTGTCGCCGCTTCTGTCCGTGCCGGTTTCTGTGCCACCCATGTGCATGTGCCCAGAGTCGCATCCAGAATCTTGGCGAGCAGGGGTGACACAGGGCTTCATGAAAGGTCCTTGGTGAAAGGGCCCGCAAGCTTTGAGCGAGCCCGATGTTTTCTCCCTTTGTTTCTTTTTTTATCCAGGTATTCCGACGGGCGTGTTCAGAGAGGGGGCAATGGATTGAATACTGAGGGGGCCACTAATTTTTTTCGTTCAGGCAGCGCTGTCAGTGAAACACTGGAGGTCACAGAATACTTACCATGCAGCATTCTGATGAGATGGAGGCCAGGCCTCCTGGTCGGTTGGGGGGCCCTCTGAGGAATGCATGATACATTAGTTCCCCTCATGACGCGGGCCAGCCTCTGAAAGTAGCAGTTGATCCGGCTCAGAGTAGAGGTTCTCAGTGACGCAGGCCAGCCTCTGACGGTAGCAGCTGATCCGGCTCAGAGTAGGGGTTCTCAGTGACGCAGGCCAGCCTCTGACGGTAGCAGCTGATCCGACTCAGAGTAGAAGCTCTCAGTGACGCAGACCAGCCTCTGACGGTAGCAGCTGATCCAACTCAGAGTAGAAGCTCTCAGTGACGCAGGCCAGCCCCTGACGGTAGCAGCTGATCCGGCTCAGAGTAGAAGCTCTCAGTGACGCAGGCCAGCCTCTGACGGTAGCAGCTGATCCGACTCAGAGTAGAAGCTCTCAGTGACGCAGACCAGCCTCTGACGGTAGCAGCTGATCCGACTCAGAGTAGAAGCTCTCAGTGACGCAGGCCAGCCTCTGACGGTAGCAACTGATCCGACTCAGAGTAGAAGCTCTCAGTGACGCAGACCAGCCTCTGACGGTAGCAGCTGATCCGACTCAGAGTAGAGGTTCTCAGTGACGCAGGCCAGCCTCTGACGGTAGCAGCTGATCCGGCTCAGAGTAGAGGCTCTCAGCGACGCACAACAATTTCTTACAGTCACAAGGAATCTGCTCAATGACAAAGCGATCACACTTAACAAAATCATGCCCCTGGGTGAAACGGAGTAACGAACAAGAGCGAGGTCTCTTGTTCGTTACTGTGCCCACGGTCCGACACAATAACCTTCCATTGGCTCAATGCAGGCCCTTTTCTTGTCACATTCTTCTTGTCACTTTTCCCATCTTCCTTTATTGTCCAGGGTGCCGAATAATGCAGGATACCTATTGACATTCCAGGCCAACCACAATCACTTTGTAGCAAACGGCTCGTGCCCGACTCGGATCCCCTCCCTCTGGCCCTTGTTAGGTACTCCGGCGTCATAAGACAGTGTCTCTTTTTCTTCTTTGTTTCACTAGCCTTCGTGCCCACTTGACATTAGTTCGTACCAACAGCGGGCGCGCAGCCAGGATTTTCTTCAGGGGTGGGGGGGGGGGGATGGGGGCAGACCTCGGTGAGAACGTATCACGCCAATTTTAATGAAGACCTGTGGCCGATTGGGGCGCTCCTGGGCTATGCTCCTGATTACCAACTAAACCGCAGCGGCAGCAGGTTTTAAAGACTACGACCTTGTAGGCAGGGATCGGTTCGTTCCTTTTGTGAGGGCTCTTGTGTGACACCCTTCCCCTATTCAATTGCCCCCCCCCCAAACAACGAATCTTCTGGTCTAAGTACCACAAATTTTAGGAAAAGAAGATCAGACGGATCTTTTTAAGACATTATCTCTGGTTGATGACCATACTACTCAAATAAAGGACTATTCTATGACACCAAATTGAGAACAAAAATTGTCGTACGTCAAAATAAAGTATCCTAAGAGCCCGTGACAAACACATTTAGGGCGAGATTAGGCTGTTAGGCCTTCAGAAGGACGTGATTTTTTCTGAATACGTTGTTGGGGAGGGGGAGGGGCTGAAAATTGCTAACCCAACCATAAATATGCCTCTCATTGGAGTTGGTCGACTTCCAACTGATAGCTGGGGACGTTGTCTACCCCCCCCCCCCCCCCCCCGCCAGATACACACACACCGTTCCTCACGCTCCACACACACCATCTCAATAAGAAACTACATCCCTGGGTTCTCGGCTTACCCCCATTCATTTTTTTAAAAAATTTACGCCCCTGCTTGCAGAATCATAGAAGCGGAAACCAAAACAGTGTTGTTGGTTAGTGTTTTGTACAGCACGACCTTGCTTGATGCTTGAAATCAAGCTTTGGGTAGTTATTTATTGCCTTCTTCCAATCATTACGAATGCTGCATCCGCGCTACGTTTCCGCTACGCCGCGGCGACGGTGCAAGCAGCAACAGGGCCAATGTCACATTCGGGCCCCAGTGAGCCCATTACCCTGTGCGTCGTAGGGCATTGTACCCACAGGAAATTCAATGGTGTTCCTCCTCCCCCCCCCCCCCCCCCCTCCAGTGTTTCACCTGCCAGCTGACGTTGCCAATGCCCGACGAGCGAAGCAAACAATAGAACCCGTGTATGGAGAATTACTTATACCACGCTTTGTAGGCAACAGCTTAGAAAAAGCATCGCATATGTCAAAAATCACAATCTTAGGTTCTCCAACGCCAGGAATCAAGCACAGTTGCCATTATAGTTACCGTGTGTGTAGTTTTAAACATATGTAAAAAATAAACAGAACATTGTCACTGTCGAAAGAAGCAGTGAGCCAGTGATTCGGTGAGCCATCATAATACTGGGGTTTCATTGCTAAGATAAGCACCAATATTCTATTCACGAAAATAAGATTTATGTAGCGCTCACACCCGGCGATATCAGTTCATTTGGCGACAAGCTCACTGAAAAACAGGCAAGCCTATCGAGAGTCCTCAAAGTCTATCTAGGGGGCGATCTTGGCTCTGCAGAGGGCCAAACTTTACGGGAACTTCAGAGGCGATCTTTTTGTCTCGTTCGTTCTTTTTGGGATAGGTTCTCAGCGTCAATGCAGATTATCTCGCAGAGAATGACTGATTATCTCCGTGACCAGCGTATTGGAATACGGAGATAATTAAACATTTTTGAGGCAGATAACCTACAATGATGTCGAGAGCCTTGCAAAAAAGCTCCCAGACCTGGCAGACACCTGGATGGTGTCTGAGCGCTCTCCAGGGTTTCAACCCTTTTTTAAGTCATTGCGTTGATAAGCTTGCAATATACGACCATGCCATATGTTTCTGCATCTCCGTCGAAAGCCATCAGAGACAAAACCAAAAACATTCAAATCAGCGTAACAACACAGACGCGTGTAGCCATAACGTAGCCCAACAGAATGATGCATCTGCGTAAGAACGACAGGACGACGTATCTCTGCAGATTTCCTCATTCCACAGCAAAACGACGCGTCTCCATCTACATACGCCGGAGACGCGTCACAACACAGTGTCGTGTCGGAACACAGCACAGCAGAGCACCGCACATCACAGCTGAATGACGTATTCCATAACAGAGCAACGCTCTCCGTGGTAGAGCAACGCGTCTCCATCGACATGCGATGACGACAAAAACCAAAACTTGCAAATCAGCATTGCAGACAAATTTGTATAGCCTTAACACAGCACAACAAGACGACGCATCTCCATCAGAACGATAGATTTTCCACAGCAGAACCGCATGTCCCACGGCAGTACAGCACATCTCTATGACACACGCCTATAATCAGGTTTCCAAATTAGTCATAACACAAACTCAACTCAGCACAACTTCAGCCATCAACGACACTTCAGCGCGGCACGCACTAAGTGGGCCTGCGTGTCATCACCACCGATCGGCAAGCTCCTTTGTGCCCTCATCCCTCATGTCCAGCCTCCTGGTCAGAGTCCAGCACGACCTGGCTGCAAAACGCAATCACGTATCCGTAGCACGAAGTGTTGCAGGAAAACGTATGGCAGGTGGCAGGTGGCGCTCG